GTATTTGTATTTATTTTGGAGCGAAGGGCACGAAAAGTTTCGCAACAAAAAAATAATTATTTATATATTTTTTATCGGTTTTTGGTATTTTTGCGTTCATTGGCTGCCATTAGTGAGTTTGTTGCCAAAATATTTTTGGCCATAAATTAAGTTGGTCATATGTTAAACAATACCGTTTTTTTGCGTGAAATTATCAAAATGAATATAAATTTAATGAATTTGCATAAAATAAATATTTACATAAAATACATGTATGCACAGTAGACAGTAGAAGTTTTTCCTTTCAATCGCATATAAAAATTTCGTTGTCGAGCATAAAAAAAATCATTTTTCAGTTGGCGCACAATATGACCAATACAGTCCAATGCACAGGCATATGTCTATGTTTGCGAGTAGATAATGATTCCTAAAAAAGTGTGGACATATATGTAGTTTTTGGAATAGCAGAATGAGTGGGAGATAACTACATACATTGCTGACATTAATGCAAAATCTATTTTCAATTCCCAAATAAATCACTGCCCCAATAGATTGCTGTTTGATCAGTAGCGTACACTCATGGGGTACGGCATGGTAATTGGTCATTTCCATCTGACTAAGCAGCACACAGCGTTTCGACAAAATTTCGCATAATTTTCCCACCACTCTTTGCTGATTCCGAAAATGGAGTTATTGTTTTTATACCCGAGAGCACTTGTGCACAAGGGTATATTAATTTTGTTCACATAACGGTTGTTTGTAACAGCCAAAACGAATCGAGATAGATATAGACAAATGTATACATAAATGCTCAGAATGAATAGAGAAATCGATTAAGCCATGTCTGTCTGTCCGTTCGTCTGTCCGTCTGTCCATCTGTCCGTCCGTCCGTGTACATGATAACTCGAGCAAAAATTGAGATATCTCAACAAAATTTGGTAGGTTGGTATTGAAAATGGGCGAAATGGGACTGTAACCACGCCCACTTCCCATATAACGGTAATTTCCAGAAATACGAAAACTGCGATATTTTAGTAACTACTGAAGATAATTCACTCAAAATTGATATTTACAATAAATTTCAGACGAAAAATAAGAATATTAAACATTTTTGGAAAATGGGCGTAGCCACGCCCACTTATGGTTACATGTGTATATCTTGGTAACCGCTGCACCAACTTCTTCCAAGCTTGGCACAGTTGTTGGCCTTGATACATCATACCAAATGGCCCAAAATTTTTAAGATCGGACAATAACCACGCCCACATCCCATATAGCGGTAATTTAGAGAAATACAAAATCTTCGATAAATCCGTAAATATTAAAGCTAATTTATTCAAAATTGATGCTTGCAACAATTCTTAAGTGGGCGTGGCACCGCCCACTTATCATCACATATGTTTAGGCCTCCACCCTAAACTCAAAATAATGCAATGGGTGTACCACCCTAATGTTCATTTATGCACATGCATGTATACATTTGCAGTATTAATAACCAACAATGTTGGCCGTTAGTATCATTTATACACACATGCAAGTATACATTTGCATGTATTAATAATGTGGCCGTTAGTAATACTTCCCGCCATATTAACTTTCGTTAAGTTACCCCTCCAAACAGTTTTACTGCTTGGAGGTTGAACTTAATTTCGTAAAAAGGAGATCGGTCACTTCTTTTCTGGAGATCAACAGAGGACGACTATCAGCCATCACCCGACGTCATAAGCGATTGAGGTAAAAGTCAATTTTCTAATCCAATTTTTGTGTATACATAGCAAAATACAGCGTGGCGACGAATAACTGTTACCCAGGTTTTTTTGAGAAATAGAAGAGTCCTTTATAGATTTTGCGAAAAAAGTATGTTATTGTTAATTTTCCACAGATTTTACTTTAGTTGTATTAATTAGTTTTTAAATTTTAATCCTTATTTACATTTGCCAGCAGTGTAAACTTTGAGAGAAAAGTTCATTTGGCACGCAGGTCCTCGTCAGTTAATTTGTTCCATATCTTCTGTAACCATAGGCTAATTTTCTCCATTTTGAGTCCCTTATACTCCCCCTTCTGTCCAAAATAAGGCCTCATACTCAAAAATCTAATAGACTCGGGACTGGTGACTAGGACGGCCATTCATTCGACCAACCTTATACAGGTTTTTTCTTTTTTTTACTTTTTTTATACAAAGCCTAAGAAAAAATACACCTGAAAAAGACTTGCGTGCCAAATGAACTTTTCTCTCAAAGTTTACACTGCTGGAAAATGTAGATAAGGATTAAAATTTAAAAACTAACTAATACAACTAAAGTAAAATCTGTGGAAAATTAACAATAAAATACTTTTTTCGCAAAATTTATAAAGGACCCTTTTATTTCTCAAAAAAACTGGGTAACAGTTATTCGTCGCCACGCTGTATATATATACATACTTTGTAATAAACGAATTACATTTTATACGGAAGACTAATTCCCGTCTTTATTTATTTTCTCCATATTTCTAACACGACATCGGTGCAACAAACTGCGAACCATTGAGCTATCAAATACGCAGTCGTTGCAGCGTTGCACATGGTCCTTCGAGCCGGGAGCAAAATAATCAGACAAACTATTTGAATACAGTCCACTACAGCTCTATCAATTAGAAAGCACACTTGCCGCAATCATCCACTACACAAGAGCGCACCTTATACAATTAACCGGTCGCATAAATACAAGGAGGTAACAAGGTACGTGGTTGACATTTTTCATTGCACACACACATATATTTAGTGAAAATATCGCTCCGAAAAAATTAAGATTATTTCGCATAAAGAACATCATAGCTGCGAGTGATTTTGTGGAACAACGTTCACTAGTGTTGCATTTATAGTCCGAATCGCGATTCAACAGTCCATGAATATAGTGCATATAACCCAAACACAAGTGCGCGCTGCGGCCATTTTGAGAAAACCCACGAAAGTTTTGGTTAGTGTAAATGACAACGGCACACATTTTAGTTAAATTTTCTTAGTCCGTGTGCCATATCTAAAGAGCACAGATTGAATTAATTCGCACATTTGATCACTTTCACAATTTCCATAGCCTTCTGGTGGCACGTAAGTTTAATTTCTGCAACCACTTACACTAACAACACTTCACGTAGCGCGGGAGGAAATCTAACCTCACTCGGAATTGCACTTTGGTTTAACACTTTTGGTTTATCATCTTTTGCAATCACTTTTGGTCTGCACATTATAGTCACTTTAACGCTGATATACTACTTCCACAAAATCACCAGCCGCTCGTTCAAATATCATTGCACATCGGAGTTACACATTACGTTCACATATACATATATTCAAATTGAACATTGGTGCAAGTTGGGCGGCGAGTTAATTACCTGTAAATATAGGAATTGATGTGCATATACTTACATCCTTTTTAACAAAAAAATAAAGGAGTTGAACAATTTAACTTAAATTCTTGTGGTGGTTTTTGCTTTGCTTGGAACTTTCGAAAAGATAGTTAGGGGTTCATTTCGTCTTGGGTTCTCTTTAAATAAATTAAACAAACATGGATACATATATTCGGTTGGCGGACGCAGTAACTGAGTTTGAATCAGATTACAATAGCGTGCCCCAGACAGAGCATACAAAATATACTCTTGCGATCCAGCAAGAAGAACTTAAAGCAATGTGGCGAAAGGTTAAAATAGCATATGAGGAATATTTAATTTCAGATAAGGCAGAAGCCAAAGATATTTCTTCAGTGAGGAAAAAATACAAGAGCTCGTACTCAGTCTATTTGCGCTGCATGTCGAACATGGCAGATCTCCACGCAAAATTAGTTAAAAGTGAAAAGGACGTAGAAGATCAGTCCGACCGCGAACACAGTATCCACTTACCCCCGTGCGATACAGATGTATTCAAGGGCGACTATCTTTCCTGGCCAACATTTCGAGACATGTTCACGGCCATCTACATCCTGAATAAGCGCCTCACTCCTGTCGAGAAACTATGCCACCTGATCCAAAAAACAGAGGGAGAGGCGAAAGATATTGTTAAAAAATGCCCACTCACCAATGAAGGATTTTCTACAGCTTGGAAACATTTAACGGATAGGTAGGAGAATAAACGCATACTCGTCCATACACAATTAAAGACTCTTTTTAATTTAAATACGGTTGATAGTGAGTGCGGCGGCTCGATTAAAAAATTGCAGAGAGAAATTAATAATTGCATCTCATCACTAAAAAGTCATCAAATTGATATATCAAACTGGGATGCAATTATTACTTACATCTGCTCAACCAAACTACCGGAAAGTACCTTAGCATTGTGGGAACAAACAGTAGAGAACAAAACGGAGATATCCAAGTGGGAGGATATGGATAAGTTTCTCTCAAATAGGTTCCAGACACTAGAAACCGTGTCAGGTATAAAGGGCACTACTCATTCCAGATTTTCAAAACCACAGAATGCTAAACATACCACTGAAGCCCCACAAAAAAGACTTGGAGCTTTCCAGGCAAGTGTATCCAAAGTTACATGCCAATTGTGCCAATCTAACGAGCACAGATTAAAAGACTGCCAGAAGTTCCGTAAGCTTTCAACATCCGACAGGATCACACTCGTGAAGAACAATAATAGTTGCGTTAACTGCCTATCTTCAAGACATACTGTGTCGAGGTGCACTAGCTCTTACAATTGCAGCACTTGCCACCAAAGACACAACACGCTCTTACATATCGAGGCAGCCGCACCGAAATCAACTGTTCAAACGAACCAATCGGATCCAAAGGATAATGTTGCGTCCACTTCTGCACAGGCCCAATTGAGGCCCGATTCTGCAAGAGCAAATAAAAATTCGGTTAGCAATGTTAAATCTTGTTTCGCTAATACAAATAAAGGGATCTTATTGGGGACCGCGCGGGTCAATATATTTTTTAATAACACTACTTTTTCAGCACGCGCATTAATAGATTCCGGTTCGGAATGTTCGTTTATAACCGAAAGGCTTAAGCGTAGGATTAACCTGCCGTCCAAAAGGATGCAGGCCCAGGTATCAGACATCAATAACACCGTGTCGGCGCAGGTGAAAGAAGCGTGTGCGATTCAATTGCGATCACCCATTGACCCTTTAATTAATATAGATACCACAGTGTTGGTTTTACCACAGCTGACCGGTAATCTACCGACCTGTCAGATAGATGCTATGACGAAACAAGCATTCCCCGACCTCATTTTAGCGGATAAGAGATTTTTCATTAATGAACAAGTTGATCTTGTCCTAGGTGGCGACGTTTATGCCCAAATAATGTTGGGCGGTATTAGGAAGAACGTTTTAGGTACTCTTCTTGCTCAGGAAACAGTATTCGGATGGATACTAACCGGCCAGACGGAAGCAATTTCAATCACTAATAAACGTGTATCGTTTTTTAACGAGGTGACCTTAGACAAACGTCTAGCCTCGTTTTGGGAGTTAGAAGACTTTTCAAAGCACAAAACCTACAATAAAGAGGAAGTTTACTGCGAGGACCTTTATAAACGCACAACTAAACGGAACCAGGATGGAAAATATACAGTATCGTTGCCATTCAAACAGGATTTTCCAAGGTGTATACGCTTAGGACCTTCACTCAAGATAGCTTGCTCACAATTTTTTCGTAATGAAATCCGTCTAGCAAAAGACCCTCCCCTACAAACTGAATACAATAGGGTATTGTCCGAGTATGAAACGTTAGGACACATGACGCTAATTTCTGACCGTATTCCGGGTGATGAATGCGAAAGTTACTTCCTGCCACATCATGCCGTTCGAAAGGAAGAGAGCACCACCACCAAAGTACGGGTGGTCTTCAACGCGTCATGTCCTACGGCTAATGGGGTGAGTCTTAATGATGTGATCCATCCTGGACCAGTCCTCCAGAATGACTTGACAATTCTAATATTACGGTGGAGATTTTTTCGATACGTTTTTAATAGCGACATCGAAAAGATGTATCGCCAAATATTACTAAATCCTGACGATACCAAGTATCAGCGAATAATTTTCCGAACAAGTCCAACCGAACCAATTAGGCTTTATGAGCTTAAAACTGTGACTTTCGGTGTCAACTGCGCACCCTACCTCGCGATTAGAACCCTGCTCCAATTAGCTGACGATGTACAAAACTCGCACCCTATTGCGTCGGACATCCTAAGAAAGTATATGTATGTTGACGATGTTTTAGCTGGCGGTCACACCATCGAAGCTGCCATCAAAGCGAAGGACGACATCACAGGAGTACTGCAGTCTGCTGGTTTTCCTTTAAGGAAATGGACTTCTAATTGCACTGAAATTTTACATGGTACACCGAAATCCCATCTGCTTAAAGAAGACTTCTTAGACTTCGAAGACACCAGCACGGTCAAAGCTCTGGGAATCAGATGGAACGCCCATTCCGATAATTTTTACTTTACAGCCAAACCAATTGAAAACCAGACTAGCTATACAGAAAGGGCAATTCTATCGGCCATTGCCAAATTATTTGATCCCCTAGGGTGGCTTGCACCATTTGTAATTACCGCGAAAATTTTAATGCAAAATATTTTGTTAGAAGGAACAGGGTGGGATGAAACTGTATCGTCAACCACGTTGGACCGCTGGAAAAACTTTAAGGAAAGCTACAGTTACATCGAAAAGATTCGTATCCCCCGTTGGGTACACTTTTCACCGACAACCAAAGTCGAAGTTCACGGGTTTTGCGACGCCTCAGAAAAGGCATATGCGGCCTGCATTTATCTTCGCGTCGAAATGGACGAAAAGGTCGCCATCAGTCTACTACTAGCTAAAACTAAAGTGGCACCAGTTAAAACGATTTCCTTACCACGATTAGAACTTTGTGGGGCGGTCTTGCTAGCCGAAATATTGGAGTCGATGACCAATAATCTTAACTTAGCCAACCGTACAACTAAGATGTGGACGGATTCGACCATTGTCCAGGTTTGGCTACGGAAACCACCGTGCTCATGGTCAACCTTTGTTGCCCATCGAGTAACAAAAATAATAGAAAAGGTCGGAAAAGAAAATTGGTGTCATGTAGATTCAACATCAAATCCGTCAGACTTAGCCAGTAGAGGACTTCCGGCGCAAGAATTAGTAAACAACTCCCTGTGGTGGGAGGGCCCTTCTTGGCTGCAAGAAGATCACTCCAAATGGCCCACTGAAGAAAAGGACTATAATACAGTTATAGAAGAGAAAAGGGTGCAGGTACACGCAACAACAAGGTCAGATATCGACTTTGATATTATTGAAAGATTTTCTGATTTCTCGAGAGCTTTGAGAGTTTTATCTTATGTACTGAGATTCTCTCAAAGAACTCACCCAAAAACTAGAGCGTCATTTCAGGCGAAATCTTGTTCAATTTCAGCTGATGGAATTAAAGCAACGACTCACCGCTTGATAATCATCTGCCAGAAGAAGCATTATTGGGAAGAATATTCAGCACTAAAATCCGAAACATCAATAGGTCAAAAGAGTGAAGTACTAACCCTTAACCCATTCATCGATAAGGACGGTATAATGAGGACAGGTGGTCGCCTAGGAGCATCTCGTGATCTCGCCTATAACGAGCGTCACCCAGTTATCCTGCCATACAACAGCCACTTGTCCCGTCTGATAGTTCAGTTCGTTCACAAAGTCTCACTGCATGGTGAGAATCAGCTCATGTTGCGCCTGATTCGAACACAGTATTGGATACCTAGGGTCAAAAACATGATACGGTCCACCATTCATAATTGCAAGGTCTGCACAATTTATAGAAAACGCGTGCAAACACAGCTAATGGGAATTCTTCCCAAGGAACGCACTACATTCTCACGAGCATTTACAAACTCGGGAGTCGACTTTGCAGGGCCTTTCGACATAAAGAGTTACAGCGGACGAGGATGCCGGATGTCCAAAGGATATGTGTGCCTGTTTGTGTGCTTTGCGACTAAGGCGATCCATTTGGAAGCCACCTCAGACCTAAGTACTCAATCCTTCTTAGCAGCATTTGCTAGGTTCATAGCAAGAAGGGGCTGTCCAAGAAATGTCTACTCCGACAATGGCACTAACTTTGTCGGAGCCTCTAGAACTCTGAAATCAGAGTTTAAAGTCTTCATGGCCAATGCCCGCGGTGACACCTTAGCCAAATATGCCCATCAAATGGTTTCATGGCACTTTATCCCCGCTTCAGCTCCCCACATGGGCGGACTGTGGGAAGCGGGAGTTAAAAGCTTCAAAAGCCACTTCACTAAAATTGCCTCCAACCATAAATATACATTTGAGGAATTTACAACCCTATTATGCAGAGTGGAATCATGTCTCAATTCTAGACCCCTGAGCCCCTCTTCAAATCAACCAGCAGACCTGGAGCCACTGACTCCAGGTCACTTCCTAGTCGGTGGACACATACTAGCTCCACCAGAAATAGACGCCGATGAAAATCGTGCATCGATCGTAAATCGATGGCAAAGATTAAAGGCTCTTCACCACATGTTTTGTAAAAGATGGAAATCTGAGTACCTATCAGAGCTCCAGAAACGCAACAA